TTGGTAGAGTTCTTGGGGTCTTCTATATAGAGTATCATGTCATCTGCAAATAATGACAATTTGACTTCTTGTTTCTGCTACCATTGTCCCATGATCTTTAATACACATATCTAGTTTCTACATACTATATACTACCAGGTGTATGCTTGCCAACTCTTTCCTTGTCATACACAAGAACCTGGACTATTTTTGGTCCACTCAAACATTACCACTTGGTGAGCTATCCAATCAAACACTAGTCTTACTCAGTATGCACTTCTGAAGAAAGTAGCAAGGAACATTTATCAAATATTAAATGTGCCACACATAGCACATCCTTACAACTTCAAAATAAAGCTGATCAGCAGCCTCATTTCATACATAGGAAACTCGGATTATCCGTGTGCTTCATGCTCACAGCTGTAAAATAATGTATGCATAAATACGACTTCGCTACTACCAAAACTCAAATAAAAACTTCCCCAAGAAACATGCACTTCAGCATGTGCCCCAGTGCCATGCCACACTCACCTTCCACGTATCGCTGGCCCATGTACAAGCGGTGCTTCTCCAAAGCTTTCTGCACGTCCCGCTCTGACTCCATCTCAATCAAGGCATCGCCCCTTCGCTTCCCATCTCTATTTAAGAGAAAATGTATTCCCTTCTCACTGTTGCGGATTTTGCAGTCTAAAAGTACACGAGAAGCCGGTTAAAAACAGACCCCAAACTGTGAGCTTATTACACAAGTCACCAACTACAGCTTCCCAGCAATAAAGCAGGGTCCAAACGCTCCTCACACTCCTCATACACACCCTCATCACCAGAACCAGAGATGCCAACAGAGTACACACGCACATACAACCTCGGCTCCAGCTCCAGAGTGGGGCAATGGCTGAGTCAGGACAGGCGCAATTCAAATGCACTATGTCCACTCCAGTGTTTCTACAACCAGCTTTGAGTCACGTAAGGAATAAAAATATGGCTAGGTTTATACATGAGCACGCTCCTTTAAAATATTCACAAAATATCTCCTAAGAGCTGGGCACAGCTACACACCTACAGTCCAGCATCAAGGGAGGGCTGAGGCAAGAGGATCACAAGTTTCAGGACTGCCCTGTGTCAAAATAAGAAATAAAGGGGGTTGGGAATACAGCTCAGTAGCAGAACACTTGCCTGGCATGTGAGAGGCCCTGGGTTCAAACCCCAACACTGTAAAAAAATCCTATGAAAATAATTATGGGTAATTTAGTAAGAACCCATCTCAAAAACAATAAATAGGAGCAGGATGTAACTCAATGGTAGAGCACTTGCCTAATATGCATGAGGTCCTGGGTTGAACCCCTAGTACAAAAAATAATAATGATAATTTTGCTACAATAATTTCATTTCCCCCATTTGATTATCAAACATCTCTATAGTGCTTTGTCTGTCGTTTTGGGTTTTTTTTTTTTTGGTACCAGGGATCAAACTTGGGACCTTGCACTTGTGAGGCAGGCGGCAGAACCACTGAGCTAAATCCCTGGCCCTGTTTTGGTTTTTTGAGACAGGGTCTTGCTATGTAGTTCAGGCTTACCCTGAAATCACTATGTAGCCCAGGCAGGCCTCCCGAGTGCTGGGACTGTAGCTGTACACCACCACACCCAGTTTAAGTGTTTATTTCTTACAATGCAAGCTGAAGATGTAAGTGGCAGTGGCTTTAGGCTTCATAAAATGCTTGACTCAACACAATGCTATATACATGAAGGAGGTTAACACAGTCACAGTCTTTTACCATACACTCATTCATTCATTCAGAGACAGCCTTATTCTATAGCACAGGCATCCTCCTGCCTCGGTGACAAGTGCTGAGCTGAGATTATACCTATGCACCATCATGCCTGGCTATTCTTTTACATTTTAAAAGAGAATCATCTAAAAGCCTCTTAAGAGGGAATTTTTAAATCACAGTCAAAAATAAAATACCCCTTTAAAAAAGAAATACTAACCATACATTGGTAAACCTCCCAAACATGGGTATTCCATGTAAGCGATCTTATGTTTGAAATGTATTTCATAAACAATCCCCTTCAATCCCGTATTTCCACTAACAGGTTTGGCTAGCTGTTACACACTTTTTTTGGCAGTACTGGTGACTGCTCTCAGGGCTTTTCCACTGAGCAACATCCCCAGCCCTTTATTTTTTATTTTGAGACCAGATGTTGGTAAGCTGCCCAGGTAGGATTCACACTTTCAATCCACCTGCCTCAGCTTCCTAGACTGCTGGGATTACAGGGATGCATCACCAGGCCTGGCTTGTTATATACATATTAAAACTTCTGAGAAAACTGATTTCATACCACAGTCTTAACATTACTTTTGTTGCACTCAAAGCCTTTTTTGTTTTTTTGGTACAGGGTCTTGCTATGTGGTCCAGGTTGGCCTTAAATTCCAACAATTCTCCCTCAGACTCCAAGTGCTGGTGTTACAGACCTGTGCACCACCACATCCAGCTACATTTAGAGTCTTTCAATTAGGTAGAGGTTGGGCATGGTAGCACATGCTTGTGATTCCTCTACTCTAGCTCAAGAGGAAGATCAAAGTTCAAACTCAACTGAGGAACCTAGTGAGACCCTGTCTCAAAATAAAAAGGGCTGGGAATGTAGCTCAGTGCAAAGGTCCTAGGTTCAATCCCCAGTACCACAACAAATAAATAAATAAATAAATAAATAAATAAATAAATAAATAAATAAATAAATCTGGTATATATCACAAATATATCCATGGTGTCCCTTGGTAAGAATCTGTAACCACCCAGAATAAGAGTGCCCAGCCATCAAAAAGGCTACCAGCTTAGCTGTCTTAGCTGTACTTTACTCAAATGAAATTATACACTTACACTGAGCATAGTGGTACACACCTATAATCCTAGTACTCTGAGAGGCTGAGGCAGGAGGATCTCAAGTTTGAGGCCAGCCTGGGCATTTAACAACTTAGCAAGACCCTATTTCAAAATAAAATATTTTTTAAAAGGTATGCAGATGTAACTCAGTGGGAGAACTCTGGGTTCAAACCCCAACACTAAAAAAGGGAAAAAAATGACCTACTTAAAACATATATAAAACCTGGGCATAGTGGGATGGGCCTGCAGGTCCAGCATTCAGGAGCCTGAGGCAGGAGGATCACTGAGCTAGAGGGTTCAAGAACAACCCAGGCAGCACAGCAAGACCCTACCTAAAAAACAGAGAAAGACATACCTTGGAAAAAGTTAAGTACATCCTCCACAGTACATGACCAGGGCAGTCCCTGGGCTCGAATGAGGAACACATCATCCACTTCCTCGCCTAACTTGGAGGGGGCCAATTCATACTCCTGGAGCACAGTGAGCTCTTCCAGGTAGGTGGCTTTGGACTCCTTTCAAGAGAGATGAAGAAATGTAAAAATATTCCTCTGTCAACTTACTTAGAAAATGTTTATTTCCATAAACAGATGCTCTACATATTAGAATTATTTCAAAGGAAAGAAACTTCACAAATCCAACTCAGCCTATTTTAGCTTAAATTGTACATCCTAAACCAATAAGCAAGTGTATCCTAATGGTTTGGCGGGACATAATCTACACTCAGGGCTTATTCATCAGGCCTAAAATTGTTCCTAATAATAGTGACTTAGGTCAAAAAGGAGGGTCCCTTCAACGTGACAAATACTCAAAAGCACCCTCCTCACAGGGCACTGTATTAGACCTCATCTCAAAGAGCTCACTACCTAGAAGACAAGATGCCTTTAGTGCTATAATCAAGATACAAAATGTGGGAATGCAACACAGAAAGAGAACCAGGATACACTGCAAGATGGGCCTTGCAGGAATAAGAAGGTCTGGCCATTCCAGGCAGAGGTGAGGGTAAGAAGCAGGACAAGCAGAGGCACACTTGAAAACCGGAAATCCCACTTGTCTGAACTGCAGGGTAAAAACGGGTGTCAAAGATGCTGAGCAGGTAAAGTGAACTTGGAACCATGTAGCAGAGGGCCTTAGTGCGGGCTCAACATGAAGCCCTTCCCTGGACAGGCAAAAGGAAGTTATTAAAGACATTAAGGAGTGGATAAATCAACAAGACAGTAGGAGGCCTTGGAAACTGTCAGAGCAACAGAAAAAGGGAGAGACCACAGAAGGCAACAGCCATGGGAGGTAACAGGGACTTGAGCGTACCTAAAGTATTCTATTTCATTAAGTCTAAGCCAAAGGTGGACAACAAGCACTACAACTGTAAACTGGGAAGATCACTAAGGCTTTAAGACTTGTGACCAGTGGGGTGCAGTAGTATATGCCTGTAATCCCTCCAGCACTATGAGAGGCTGAGGCAGGAGGATCAAAGTTCAAACTGAGCTCGGGTAATTAACCAAGACTGTCTCAGAATGAAAAAGGGCTGGAGATGTAGCTCAGTGTGAAGGACCTGGGTTCAAGCCTCAGTTATCTCCTCACCCCCTGAAGGCTTGCAATCTACCATGCTAAAGATAGACAAATGTGTTCCATTCTCCGTTTCCATGAAAACTTAAGTCTAATGTTACGGACCCAATGATAAATATAAGTACAGCGTCTCACACACGGTAATACTCAAAAAGATTATCACTGTAGTTAATTTCACAGGGGAAAAAATGTTTTTAAAGCTGGCTCACAAAGAGTTGTTTTAAGGCAACTCTTCCAATTTCCCAGAATTCCGTAAGCATCACCAGTTTTTACAAAGGGCCCTGAAAGTACTGGGCAAGGTTCAATCCGCTCACCCCCTACACATAGCAGCCAGGTTAATCGGGCTCCCGAGTCCATAAATTCAACAAAAAGCAAAATCTCCTCAGGCTGGCTGTACCCTGGCACCACGCGGTGCCGTCAGGTGCCAGGGCTCCTGCGAGGGCGCCACGTAATGCGCATCAAGCGCCGAGTCCCGGGCCCCCCGCCGCGGCTCACCGGAAAGGAGGAACTACGACGACCGGGCGGAACCAGCGGAACCAGCTGAGCACGGCCCCGGCCCGGCCCGGGTCCTGCGGAGCCGGACCTGTCACAGGAAGTGCGGCAGTGACCTTCAACGAGGGACCCTGCTTCCCGGCCCGCCAGGCCCCGTACCTCGCGCGCCGGGCCCGCGGTGGCCGCCAGCGACTGGGGCAGGAGCGGGGCTCGCAGGAACGAGTAGCAGGCGGCGGCGGGCGGGGTCCCCGCCAGCCTCCCGGAGCGCGCGGGCCCGGGGTACAGGCCGCGCGTCTGCGCCGCGGCGCCCAGAAGCAGCAGCAGGCGGCGGCGGCCCGACACTCCTGCGGGGAAAGGACCGGCAGCCGAGGATAGGGGCAGACAGGCGGCGCCCGTGCGCTGGCAGCTGCTGCAGTTGCAGCCACAGCCCCGGAGCAGCGCCCCGAGGACCCAGCGCGTCCCGGCCATGGACTCCGGCAGTGGCGGTGGCGACGGCGGCAGTTGCGCGTGCGCAGGGAAAGCGGCAACCGAGACGGGCAGCGAGAAAGACACTGCACTTGAGCTGCGGGCGTCCGGGGCGGGGACGAAGGAGAGCTCCGCCCCAGGGGCGGGGCGGGGCGGGCCAGGCAACTCAAGCTTCCACCTTTTGACTTTTTTTTTGGTCCTGGGGATTGAACTCGTGTCCTTGCGCTTGCGAGGCAGGCGGCAGAACCACTGAGCTAAATCCCCAGCCCATGCTTCCACCTTTTAATTGAGGGAATTTTTAACATTGCAGAGCACAGTAAATATCCAGAGCTAGAAAATGACCATCTTTTCATTGTGAGCCTGCCCTGAATGTCTCAAGCATTGCGTGAGCAGCCATCGCCATGAAGTAGGGATAAGTCAGCAGTCTTTTTTTTTTTTTTTGTACCGGGGATAGAACTTGGGACCTTGCGCTTTCGAGGCCGGCGCCAGAACCACTGAGCTAAATCCCGGCCCTCAGCAGTCTTTTTGACAGTAAATGAATTCATTGCAGGTATTTCTGAATTGATTCTGTCGTCCTGTTTTGCACTCCACAAAAAGCACCAAATGCCATATCAATTGCTTTATTATCATTATAAACTCTCATCACATCATTCAGTTTTTAAGTTATCAGCAGTAAATTAAGCCCCCACCCAAAATAAAAAAGGACTGGGGATGTAGCTCAGTGCAGAGGCCCGGGGTTCAAGCAAGCCTCACTACCGCAGAATCAGGCAAGTGGGCCAGGCCTTCATAACAGATGTCATTACAAAGCACAGTGTGTGCGTGTGCTGGGGCTTCTGCCTGTGTTTTCTCTGCCCTCGTTTTCCTTGTCCAGCAGCCATGATTTGTAGAGTACAAATCTGAATGAGTTAGAACCTTAACTCTATAGAAGGAAGCCCTGTAGTTTGTTATTGGGAATCACACCCGAAGCTTTCAAATGGAAAGCATTAATTGTTTAGTGAGAAAAGAAACTTGGAACAGTTATTCATTCATCTAACATATTTTAAGTGCTTTTTATTCCTGGTACTAAGGCATTTGAGGATATAGGCTTATAGAATAAGTATAAAAGTGATGGATGAATAGACATACACTTAGATTTACAGGAGAATAACAATAACATTTTAGAAATGCAACTGGTGGAATACCACCAGGCCTGAAAAGTTGTAGCATTGGAGCTGGGCATGGCAGTGCATGCCAGTCCCAGGGCTTGGGAGGCAGAGGCAGGAGGATCGAGAGTTAGGGATCAGCCTGGGCTACAGAGTGAGATCCAGTCTCAAGAGGAGGGGAAGAGGGAGGAGAGAAGGAATTTAATGCTTTCTAAACATGGTGGCAAAACACCTATAATCCCAGCTACTCAAGAGGCTGAGGCAAGAGGATAGAAAGTTTGAGGCCAGTCTGGGCAATTTAGCTAGACTGTGACTGAAAATAAAATGTTTTTTGTGGTACTGGGATTGGATCCAGGGCCTTCACATTGAGCTACATTTTAACTTTTTTTTTTTTTGGTACCAGGGATCGAACTCAGGACCTTGCGCTTGCCGGACAGGCAAAGGCACCACTGAGCTAAATCCCCAGAGCTACATTTAAAATTTTTAAATTTTGAGACACCAAGTCATTCAGCTAAGAGTATAAGCATGAGCTTGTACATTCAGCTAACAGTACAAGCACGAGCTGCTATGCACAGCTAAAAATTTTTTAAAAGGCTGGGGAAGTAGCTCAGTGCTCCAGGGTGCAATAGTTACTAGTACTACAAAACATATACTGTAGATATATTTATATTGCTTTTGTATATAAAATAAAATTTAAAATAAAGTGTAGCCTTACTAAATATTATAATCCCAAATGACTATAATTAGCCCACAAGTGCTAATTATTATGGGAATGAAAAGTCTCTCAGACAAAGAAATGTACAACAAGAGACTGATTTTGATTAAAATGGTGGCAACTGGGATGAGGAGAAAAAAGACTTGGCAAATTTTCTTCCAAGGTGACATCAACAAGACTTGAGGACTGCCGTAGGGGCCAGTGTTTTCTGTTGGTTTTTGTGACTGTATTTGGAAATGCACGGAAGGAGGTGACTTTTCATTGCTGAAAAAGTTGAACATTGGGTGTGGATCCAGTAGATGAGAACAGGATCAAACTCACTTTATGTTAGGCCAGTGAAGTTTGACTGCAGGGTGTGCATGTGCCAGTGTCAGTATAAAAGAAGCTGCTGATTTGGGCAAGATTGCCTACAACAAGTTCAAAGTGAGAGAAAAGAAGGCCCTACAAAGGAAAATGAACCTAAAAGGACAGGGAAAAGCTGGATATAGTAGTGTGTTCCTGAAATCCCAGCACTGACTGAGGCTGAGCCAGGAGGATTGCAAATTCCACCCCACATGGACAATTTAGGGAGACTCTCTCAAAATAAAACATAAAAAAGGCTGGAGCTGGAGCTCAGTCATAGAGTGCCCCTGGCTCAATCTCCAGTATCAAAAGGAATTAAAAAAAAGAGATGAATGGAAAGAGAGAAGAGTAAGAAGAAAGTTAAGAGAAGCCAACAGTATTGTTTCTGGAAAGAGACAATATTCAAACGTGTCAGGTTTTGGACCAGGGAAACAACTCAGGGGAAGACTGTACTTTCCCTAGCATGTTCTGTGCCCTAACTTCAGCCCCCAGCACCCTGTAGAAAAAGTCCTTACGAAAATCAATACTCACTTATCAAATGAGACAAGAATAGGAAAAACATCTTGGGTTTAGCAATGCAGAAGGGGTTGGTAACCTTGTCCACATGTTTTGAGGTGGTGATAACAGAGACCAGGACAAAGCCCAAGCAAAGAGAAAAAGGGGGAAGTGCAAAAAAAAAAAAAAAATGAGAGTTATAAAAAAGGGCTAAGACAGTGCAAGAAGTTTAGGTCAAAAGTAAGTGCAACTGGGACCTGTGAAAGTGATGTTGGGAAGGATTTAGTTGTTGAGGATGAAGCAGGAGAAAACAGGCATAGTGAGTGTATGGGTTCAACGTGGTGAAGGAGGGGGCTCAGCTTTAAACACAGCTGGCTCCGTTCTGTCGGTTACTCATGAGCACAGGACTGGCCAGCGGTCTGCCTACCTGGGCAGATTCTGAGGAAGAGCTGTTGTAAATTTCGGAAATACTGCGTTTGGGGGAGAAGGAGAAAATTTATCACCTCTCATCCCTGGGGAAGAATGTTCAAAAGAAGGCCTCCCAGCTCTGAGAAGCACTTGATTGTGAGCTGGGAGAGGAGCTCCAAGGGGATAATTGTTCTGTCTTCTAATAAAGGAACTCATTTTATTGGCTGTGCTCTAAAGGTGACCCCACTTTTCTACTGATATGCAAAGAAACCTAATTAATCTCAAAAGGTGCCAACCCACTGTGTTTTTTTGCATTTGAAACAAACTGAAAATCATGAACCATGGATGTCAATAAGCCTGGGGTGGCAAAGAGGAAAAGGAATTGAGGTCCATTGGGCCAGGGATTTAGCTCAGTGGTTTCGCCACCTGCTGCACAAACACAAGGACCCGAGATCAATCCCTGGTACCAAAAAAAAAAGAAAAAAAAAGGAATTGAGGTCCATAATCATGAAGACATGGTGCCCATTGGTGTAAGCTGTGAGGAAGGTGCTATCCATCATCCAAGATTTTTTTTAAAATTTTACTTTATTGGTACATTTTAGGCATACAAAATAATGACATTCATCATTGGAAATTTGCACCCTTACATAATCTCTCTTGGTTCTTATTTTTCCCCCTTCCTCTGCCCTCCCTTCAACCACTCCATCCCTCCCTATTTACAAAGACTTTGTTTCCATTTTTTCATTTTCTCATAGTAATTCCATTCCCTTCT